CCCACAGGGCCTGGCTCTGCCCCTCGTGGCCTCCCCACTTCCTGGCTATTTCTGGAAATGCCGCCATGGTCAGCCGTGGTCAGCTGTGGTCAGCCGTGGTCAGCTGTGGTCAGGTGGGGGGTGCAGTCATTAGCTGCCGGCACCCCTGAATCCTGCCAAGAGACCTCCGGGGCACTTGGGGTCAAACATGGGCTTCCTGCATAAACAGCCGTTTCCAGATGAGAGCCTGAGACTGGGCCGCCCTCCCCAGATGAAGCCTGTCCCCCCCAGCACCCCTACCCTGGCCTTGGGTGAAGGCAGAAGTCCAGGTGCCCCTTCTGCTCAGAGACAGCCCCTCAGCCCCTTTCCCAAGTGGCACTGCTCACATGGGGGCTGTGGAGTCAGGACAGGTGCTGATGACACAGAGCCGGGGCAGGGAAAGTGGGGCCGGGAGTCGCCAGACAGGCTCCAGTCCCCCCGTGACCGGGTCAAGCCATCTGACCCCTCGGGGCCCAGACGCGGATGGAGGGATGGATGGGGAGATCGAATTCTTTCTAACATAAACAGAGGATTCAACCTAATCCTACCCGAAGTCACCTGAAGAGCCAGAAATGAAGTAGAGTAATTTCTCTACGTCAACCATGTTTCTTCTCCACAAAAGGTTTTTGTTTTTAACCCTGAGAATATGGCCCCCAGACTCCCTTTTAACTCAGTACTGAAGTCACTCCTGAGGTTCACTCTTCAGCCAACGATTAGACGGACCCTTAAAAGAAACAATAACACACGTAGCTCAACCACGTAGATGAGACTAAATGGGCACACCAGCCCAGGGGCAAGGACGAGAAGGCAGGAGGGGACAGGAAAGCTGCTAACGGGGAACCCAAGGTGGAGAAGCGGAGAGTGTTGACGTGTCTCCGGGTTGGCAACCAATGTCACAAAACGATATGTGTATTAATTGTTCAATGAGAAACTACTTTGCTCTGTAAACCTTCATCTAAAATACAATTTAAAAAAAACAAAAAGAGGTTTTTGTTTTTAAAGACCTGGCCGGGTTAGGAACAAGATTAAATGCCCCCTCTGAGGGGTGGAGCTGCCTGTCTGGTTAACCCTTGTGGACAGTGTTAGTGACCTCCAGCCTCTGACGACACTCCCCTGATCCGGAATTCCACTCTTGACCAGATTCAGGGTCACTAGCAGTTCTTTGAGTGGGGGCTCTCCACCTCAAATCTCTATTTTGATTTTTCTCTGAATCATCTGAGTCTGACTGTGTCTCTCCTTCTTCCCCGAGGCTCTAGGCCCTGGGAAGGCTCCCTCTGAAAGGCTGTCTCCATCTGAAGATTGCTGTCACATTTTCTCATCCACAGGACTTTGTGACCAGGGCCCCTCTCCTGCTGGAATTCAACGTGGCCGTGCATAGGTGGTGTGCTTTCTGGCCAGAGGTCTGAGGAATTCATTCTTTTGCCTTCAAGTTCAACATGTCACCTGCTTACCAAGGGGCCCTGTAGATCTGAGATTACGTTCTCCCTGCATTTGGAGGACCTAAGCCTCCATCTCTCTCTGAGAGTTCATCCCTGCCTGCTTGTAGGGTCCCTGTCGCCTGGGCAGTCTTCGCTGCCCCCTCTATCAGCTCATCTCTAGTGCCCTTTTGCTTTGGTCACTGCGATTGTCTCGGGCTCTTCCTCTCTTCCTGGGTCTCTGACATGGTTGATTGTCAAGTGTCTGTTCGTATGGTGATTCATATTCACTGATTTTCTATGTCCCACCTAACTTGCGTTCCTTGGATAAACCCTCTTCATCCTGACATGTTATCCTTTTAAAATAGTGCTACATGTGACTTGCTAACATTTTGTAAAGGATTTTTACATCTCTGTTCATGAGGGATATTTGTCTGAAGGTTGTATTTGGTCATGTCTTTAAAAAGTCTGGTTTTAGGATTCAGTCAGCCTCATAAAACACCTGGCGGCAGAGTGGATGCTCAATGAGTGCTGGCTAAGCAGGGCTCAAGGCCACATCAGGCACTACCACCTCGGAGGAGTCCTGGTGGCACAGTGGTTAGGAGCTTGGCTGCTAACCAAAAGGTCAGCAGTTCAAATCCACTAGCCACCCCACTGCAAACCCTATGGGGCAGTTCTACTCTGCCCTATAGGGTCTTGATGCCAACGGGTTTTTTTTTTTTTAAATCGCCATGGAAAGTCATTTCCTCTCCCAAGACTTTGGCTTCCCATTCTGCAAATTTAGGAAATAGGATCAGATGACTTCCAAGGCCCTTTTCTACTCTGACAATCTCCAGTTCTATGTCCTGATAAGTGTTTTATGAACTGAATTGAATACAATTATATGAAAATTGAATCAGAAACAAACAAAAAAGAGTTACAGCTAATAAGCAAACAAAATTTTCAAAACAAAAGAAAGCAGAAAAAGAGCTAAAGAAGGCAAGTAACTTATGGGACAAATAGAAAACCAACAGCAAGGTGGTAAATTTAAACCCAAACTTTGTCAGATTAGATTTAAAAAAAAAAAAAAAAAAAAAGCAAGACCGAACTATATGGTGCCTACAAGAAATCTACTTTAAATATAAAGATAGAAAGTAAAATGATGAGAAAAGGTATACTATGCTAACAATAATCAAAAGAAAGCTGATGTGGCTGTATTAATATCAGACAAAGTAGATTTCAGGGCAAAGAATATTACAAGGGATTAAGAAGGTCATTTTATAATGATGAATGGGTCATTTAATCAAGAGAACATAACCATCTTAGATATTTACGTCTCTGAAATACATGAAGCAAAATCTGCAAGGGGAAATTCAAATCATAGAGATTTCAATACCATTCTGACAATAATTGATAAAACATGTAGTCAGAAAATCCGTAAGAATATGCTGTTGTTAGTTGCCACTGAGTTGATGCTGACTCATGGTGATGCCATGTAGGCAGAGTAGAACTGCCCTATAGGATTTTCACTGTTGTGACCTTTCAGAAGCAGATCTCCAGGCCTGTCTTCCGAGACACCCCTGGGTGGGTTTGAACTGCCAACCTTTTGGCTAGTAGTTGAGCACTTAACCATTTGCACCACCCAGGGACTCCAGTAAGAATATAGAAGACTTGAAAAACATTATCAACCAGCTTGATCTAATTGTCATTTACAGAATACCCCACCCAACAACAGCAGAACACCCATCTTTTTTCAAGTGCACACCAAACATTTACCAAGAGAGATCATATTCTGGCCTATGAAAGAACCCTCATTAAGTTTATTTTACCTTCATTTGTCCCTTCGCTAACACTCCTCCTGTCTTTATGTAGACCTGAGTTTCTGACCTATATAATTTTCAACCTCAGTACATTTAAAACAGTTGAAATCATACAAAGTATGTTTTCTTACCATAATGGAATAGAAAAATCCATCACAAAAAGCTCTCTAGAAAATTTTCAAATATTTGGAAGCCAGGAAACACACTTATAAATAACTCATGATTCCAAGAAGAAATAAAACAACTTAGAAAGTTTTTTGAACTGAATGAAAATGGATTGAAATAGAGACTTTCAGCTCTGCTGACCTCTTGTGATTCTCAGTGGAGCAGAATTCGCACAAGTTGTGTTGAATATTCCTAAAAGTACAAGTAAAAGCTGCCCCTTGTACCTGCCCTGGGAACACACTGGGTGGGCTGGCACCCATGTCTGGAGGACGAATGATTAGGTGGGGACTTCCAAGGTGAAGGTGTTGAATAAGCACCTGAGAGGGCACTAAGGACGTGACTGTGAGTCTGTAAACACTGAATTTTTAAATTAAGACCACGGTCAGAGTGCTGAGAAACCATGGCCACTCTAATCATAAGAGATCAGAACTGTCACTTGAATCATGCCAGTGACAATGGAACATTCCAGTAGTCTAGGACAAAGGCCAGACCTCTCTTAGCATGAGACTAAATCCCTTACTATACAGCATGTATGTACACATTTGTTTTTAAGTAATGTGATAAACACCAGTGAAATCAGCTCTGAACATGAACTAGTAAACTGAACATAACCTTTACGTGTCCTGTGCCCCCCTGCCCCCGCTTGTCTGCTGTTCTCCCCATCCGAAAGAACTGCAAGCCTGCAAGGGTAGCTTAGCCCAGTCACTGGAAGACCACACAACAAGGACGCTCAGGGGGAAGATTCTGCACGAAGGCTTCATGCAGAACTCTTACGACTTTCTTGTAAAATGATATATGGACATTGGCCACCATTGGTTGTCTGTTCTAGGAAAAATTATTTCTCAGATCCATCCTCTGCCCTTTCAGGAATTAAGGAAGGAAAGGCCTGGACTGGGCTTGCTAGCCATCACTAACCTAGAAGCTGTGGGATTTCCTAGTCACCTGGTTGCTGGAACCAGTGAAGATGGGGTAGCCTGGGATTGATTTGTCCCAGAGGGAGGGGACAAGGTTAACCCACAGGACTCTGTGATGGACGACGCTGCACAAGGGCTGGATACAGAACTCTGGGACTTTATTTAGTTAAAACGACATACAAGGCAACGGGAACTTAACAGTCAAACTGCATAACATAGCCGACATCTGAAACCAAGTCTCCTCCCTCTGTGGACCCGGAATCTCAGTGCAGCTGACAGGGTCCTGGGGAGCCCCCAGACCGTCTGGACAGAGGCGAGCACACGTCCACATGGCCCCCAGAGTCTGGTGTGTTCCAGGGAGTGTGCATTGCACACGGGCCTGGGCAGGGCTGGGGCACAGTTCCACGACCTGCTTGCCACTTAACGCTCGAGCTTAGGAACTGTTCCTGGTCAGCATCACATTTCTAACTCTGACAGTCGAAGGGTAAGAGCGTCTCTCTGTTATTGATGTTTGTGTCACTTCCTGGGGGGCCGGAGGTGCCTGTTCCCGAGCCCCTGGGTGGCCGCCATTCTTCCTCATCCTTTGCCAATTGATCCCCTGGCTACAGGTGGAGGGGCGGTGGCCAGCCCTCCCCAGTTACTATGTCCTGGGGCAGCCAGGGTACCGTGGCCACCTGAGCCTCTGCCCCTCAGTTCTGGGGCCCCGGGCTGAGGGGCTGGACACAGGGCAGCTCCTCCAGGGTCGAGACTCCAGCGGCAGCCAGCTTCTCCCCAGGCCCGCTGCCCCAGGTCTCAGTGGTGCTGGGCTCCTGTCCTTGTGTAGAGGATGTTGGCCTAGACGCCGAGTCCCCCTGCTCGGGCTCCCTATTGGCCAAGGGCGAATAGGACAGGATGGTGAATCCCTGCTTCAGCAGGGCCATGTCCGCGGGCACCAGCTCTTCATTCTGCCCTGCGAAGGAAGATTCCGGAATGCTCAGCTTCCACCGGTGCAGGTCCTGTTGCTGGAGTGCATCCTGAAGCCTCACCAACCACAGCTCCTTGGGCTCTAGCAGCAGTTTCCAGCCCTGGCTTGGGGTTCGCAGGGCCCGGTAGGGTGCCATCTTGCGGAGGTAGATGGCGTCGAAGCAGCCCACCATGGCGATGACTTGCAGGTCCAGTAACCAGGCCTCGGCCTTAGCAGGGTCCAGGGCCTGGGCACAGCCCAGCTCCAGCACCACGGGCTCCCCCGGGGGCAGATCCGCTTTCAGGGAGCTCTGCTATGGGGGAGGGAGGCTCGGCCAGTGCGGGCAGGCAGGAGGTATCTCAAGTCTCCAGGGGAGCCCCTGAGTCCAGTTGGCGTCTTCCGGGCCCAGGGCCAGAGGCACTGCATCCTGAGGCAACAGCTCGGTGGGCACAAAGTGGAAGTACATGTCCAACTCCTCCAACTCCTCCAACTCCTCTGGGGCTGGCGCCGAGGCTCCAGGGCCCCCATCCCCAGAGCCTCCCTCTGCAAACTGCCCTTGGCCCTGCCCCCAGCTTGGCCCCACCCCCAGGTGTCCCTCCTGCTCAGGACCTTCCTCCGTGAACTCCATTGGTTCAGAGTCCCAGTCTTCAGCTCCCCAGTCCTCCAGCTCCAGCAACCCTCTGAGGTCCAGCAAGGCGGAGTTGAAGCACGTGAAGCAGACCTGCAGATGGGGGCCATGCTGAAGCTGATAAACCCAAGACTGGTGCAGGTAGGACAAGCCCTCCAACAGGTAAGGCATGCTGACTGGGGGGCACATGGCCACACCGCCTGCCTCCTACCAGGGCTTGCCGGGATCTAGCTGGTGGGACCCACAGGCGCTGGGGGCCAGTGAGATGTCGGGGAGGAAGAGGAGGAAAGGGAGGAGAAAAAGGTGTGTCTCGTTGGGGGAATTGGGTTTGGAGTGGGTGACCTGGGTCCCAATTCAATGTGGACCTGCAGAAATTGGGAACGGAACTTCTGGAAATTTCTTCAGCTCCTTTGATAGCTCTGTTCTCTGGGAAGGAAAAGAAAGAAGTGAGTGTAGCGCCCCCTAGCAGCTGGGAGTGGATTTTGCTCCAAGAGCAGGAAGAAGTGGGGGCTGTGGGGGTCAGACCCTTTAGAGCTGAAGTCCTGCACAAGTTAACTGTAACGGGGCCTGTGCGTTCACACAGCCCCCCAGCCTCCCTTGGGTCTCATCACACCCCGACTCCCGGCCTCAGGGACCCCAATACCCTGTCAGCCTGACAGAACCTGACGGAACTCCATTCCTGGATTAGACCCACCTGAGCTGACCCAGGATGAAGACAGGCGGACAAAGTGGGTGCCTCAGGCTAAACCCACCCCCACCCCGGGCAGGGTCCCTAAGACCCCCCTCAGTCTGAGGGACTTTGGCTGAGACTCTGGGCTCTCACAAGAACAGACAGCAGGAGGTCCTACCGTGGGCCGCCTGGGGAAAGAAGGACCCTGAGCCCGCCCAGAAATATAAAGGGCCATTTCCCATGGTGCTCTGGGCTCATCTGCATATCATCTCCCATGATCCTCAGCCCGGGCAGGAAGTGAAAGTGCTGAGTCATCCACCCCCTCCTGCCGCCAGGTCCTGAGCGTCAGCCTCCATCTGCCCAGCCTTCAATATGTTGTTATATTGATATTTTGTTAATATTTTGTTTGGCTAAGCTGAAGAATGGGTCTGTTGCTGTTTTAATCTGCTTTTTTTGGAATTCTCACGTAGAATTTGTGACCTAAACCCCTCCCACATGACCAGCCACAAACAGCAAACTGTGTTTTTAATCAGTTGGAACACTGAAACCTAGACACCCTGCCCTACGTTTCCAATCCACTTAAAAGCAACATAATAAGGCATTTTCTTAAAACTTAGAGACTCCTAACTTTATTGGCCTGTGTTTCTAAAGAATACAGCTTGGAAAGATGTTTATCTTTCCTCTGGTCCTTCCCATCCTGGGGCCTTGGATGACCCCGGTCACACGTCCTGTCCCTCTGTGGTTCTTCATAGGATTCCTTCCTTGTGTCTTCTGGTGAAAATTCTTTATGAATTTTGGAGACTGGTCATTTGTCCATTATTTACATTTTAAACATATTTTTTCCTTTTGTGGTTCATCTTTTCACTTTGTGTAGAGGCTTTTACGTAAGGCCAAACGTAGCAATCTTCTCTTTCAAGAAATCTTTTTGATTTTGTAAGAACATCTTCAGTACCCAGTACGACAATGTAAGCTTGCTACTTTTTCTCCTTATTCTTTCATATTTTTATTTGTTTGCTTCTCTTTTTCATTTTTTATTCATATAGGAAGTTGCTTGGTTAGTAATATAATATAAGAATGGAGAAATGATTTGCCAAATCGGTCGGGTCAGCAGCTCTTCCTTCCACACTTCCATGGACCGTGCTGTGGACACTTCCTCTTCAGTGTTGACAAGGGTCCCAGAGTGAAGGAAGCTGTGTCTGGGCTCCTGCTTAGCAGCTGGGCCTGGACTGGGCAGTGCTTCAGGAGAGACAGCAAAGGTCCTGGGTATAGTGGTTCCCAAATTTGGCTACGCATTAAAATTCTCTTGGGATCTTTGCAAAGTCCTAACGCCCATGTCCTAGCATGTGGCAGACACACTTAAGGAGACCCCAGGGAGCCCCACCTTTATCTTCCCCACCACTTGATTGGGTAGAACCTCTGACTTGTTTCTAACCAATAGGATTGGCAAAGATGATGGGTGTCCCTCCCGTGAATACATCATTTTATGTAAACATGCATTATTATATATATTTTGTATGCATATTGTATATTTTGTATACACATATACATTACATATATATTTTACTTACAGAGACACATAGTTGTATGTATGCATACAGACATACTCAGAGCCGACTCGCTCAGCTCTCTCCCACTGGCCTTGAGAAGCATCTGCCGCTGTGCTGGGAACTGCCCATGGAGCAGCCATGTGGCCGGGAGCTGCGAGCACCTCTAGGACCCGAGGGCAGCCTTTAGCCAACAGCCAGTAGAAGCCGCGACCCTCACTCCTACAACCACAAGGAAGTTTCCAGATGAGAACTCAGCCAGCTGACACTGATCCCAGCAGTGTGAGACCCTGAGCAGCAGACCCAGCCAAGCCATGTCCCAATTCCTAACCCACGAAACTGAGATAATAAACCTGTGTGGTTTTAAGCCTCTAAGTTTCGTTATGCAGCAATAGAAAACTAGTATGTCCTCACACCAGTGTGTCAGAGTTCTTGGGGTGGGATCAGGCCTCTGTGTTTCTTAAACTCCCACGCACTTTCAATACTCGGGACAGTTTGAGAATCAGTGGATAAGGTTAGAAATTTAAACAGAGGGAGCCCCCGTAAACCTCCTCTTAGTCTAATCGATACCCAAGCCAGTCTCCACAAGGACCCCCAAATACACATGGCACACCCAACCACACGAACCGCGACCCTATGGCCCAGACCCCTCCCACGTGACCAGCCATGAACAGCAAAGTGTGTTTTTAATCAGCTGGAACATTTACACCTGGGAAAAGACACTCTGCCCTATGTTCCCAATCCGCTTAAAAGCAAACAACATAATAAGGTGTTTTCTTACAACTTAGAGACTCATAACTGTATTGGCCTGTGTTTCTAAAGAGTACAGCTTGGAAAAATGTTAAGTTTATGCCCGGAACAGTTTGAAAATTCAAACGCAATACTTAACAAAGAGAGCAGCTCGCTGCCCCCCATAATTCCACCTCCATGTCGGGTCTGAAATGGGAAGTGATGTCCCTCCAGCCCCTGGGTCATCACACAACGGTCCCCACCTTCACGGATGCCAACCATACGGGGAGAGGACAGAAGCCGGGCCACCTCCCTGCTCCATGACCGGGACTGGAGGGGGTTGCTTCTCCCCATCAGGTGGGGATTTGAGAGCTTGTCCCATGATTTGGCTCATGTGCAGATCCCCAGATCCGTCCCCAACATGAAAAGTGATGCTGCTGGGTCTGCAGACACACCCTCATTCCTTTTGTCCTCAGTATCAGGACAGCAGCTTCCCTCCCACTGCAGAAGAGCGCCCCAGCTCCCCAGCCTGCTGTCTCCTGATTCTGTCCTGTTTTCCCTTGTTGCCTCTTTGATGGGAGGAAACAGCACCTCACTGTCCGTGCCGTCTGCGTTCCCTGAATTGCAGAAGTTTAACTATGTGTCTCTCCTACGGCTACTTATTTTCTTAGTTTGCTGAGAGTTTTTTTTTTTTTTTTTTTTTTAAATAAATCATGAATATGTGTTGAATTTTGCCTACTGTGTTTTCTGCACCTATTGAGGTGATCATATATAGTTTTTCCTTTATTCTGTTAATATGATGATTTCTGTTGACTGATTTTAAAATATTAAACCAACCTTGCTTTCCTAGGATACAGCCTTACTTGGTTATGGCATATTTTATATATATATATATATATATATATATATATGTTATTGGATTTAATTGGCTAATACATTGTAAAGAATTTTGCAGCTATGTTCATGTGTTTATGAGGGATATTAGTCTTTCATTTGCTTTTCTGATGATGTCTTTGTCTGCCTTTGGTATCACCATAATTCTGTCCTCTTAGCATGAGCTGAGACATGTTCTCTCCTCTCCCATGTCCCCAGGTCTCCTGCTCCTCCCAGCCACCCAAGACCACTGTGCTGGCTTGGGGCCATCCATGTACCGGGTGCTGCCCCACCCCCAGAGGCCTGGCAGACAGGTTCTGGTGGACCTCATCTCATGGGGTCTCACCCCCACCTGTGAAGTGGGGGCAGGCATTGGGGTCCGTGGGTGATAGATGAGAAATGGAGGTCTGAGAAACAGAGGGTCTCTCCCAGACTTAGCGCTATTGCCACATGGTGGAGTTGGGCTCCACAGCAGGAGGGGACGCTCAGACATCAGGTCCTCCTCAAGATCCCAGCCTCAGCCTTTCCATGAAGAACAGGGACAGTGGTAATGGGTACAAGTGGGAGGCTCTCAAGCTACAGATGGTTGAGACAGACGGATGGTGGGTGAGACAGACGGCCTAGGCGAGTCACCTCTGTGCAGCGGGCCAGGGGGCAGAGGAGGGCACAGAGGACCAGGCCTTGCTGCCCGCCCTAGCCTGGTCTTCCCACCTTGGACTGCGTGTGGGGAGGGGCATTTTCGAGTTGGCCCGTGCCTTCCTGAAGGTGCCTCCCAGTCAGTTACTGAGGACACAAGCTGGGGGCTTCCTGCCCCTCTTTGTCACGTGGAAACCGTGAGACCCTCCTGCTTGGAGTAGAAAAAGGGGTAATCTCAGTCTCTAAAGGCATAAGAAACCCGTCCTGGGACCCTAAGCCCCATGTGGTTGTTTTGGATTGAATTGTGTCCCCAGAAATATTTGGTGAAATCCTAACCCGTGTACCGGTGGATGGAGCCCTGGTAGCGCAGTGGTTAAGAGCTACGACTGCTAACCAAAAGGTCAGCAGTTCGAATCTACGAGCTGCTCCTTGGAAACCCTATGGGGCAGTTCTACTCTGTCCTGTAGGGTTGCTATGAGTTGGAATCGACGGCAGGGGTTTTACCTGTGGGTGCAAATCCCATTTGGAAACAGTGCTTCTTCGTCCCACTGATGAGGTCGTATCGGTGTGTGGGGTGTCCTAAACCTAATCATTTCTGAGTCATAAGGAGCAGCTTAGACACAGAGACAAGAAGCACAAACGGGGGAAGACAGATGTCACGTAGGATCCTCAAGGAACTGAGGAAACCCTACAGAAACAGAGAAAGACAAGTTTCTTTCCCCAGAGCCAAAAGACAG